TGACCCCAATTTGAACCCAATTTCCCTTGGTCCAATTCCTTTTAAATCCGACACCTTACCCATTTAAACAACCCAACCCAGTCTCCCACCTAACCATTTCAATCCTAGCCGTTGATCATTTAGATCAATGGCTCTCGTTCCCCCTTACCTTAATTAATCCCAAACGACCCCAAAACCCTATCATTTCTCACCTACCGCCGCCCTTGAACCCCGTTCCTCTCAAACCCTCTCTGCAACACCACCTAAACCCTAGCCGCCACCACCCTAATCCTCCCTAATACCTACCTAATCTATGCCCTTCCGTGGTCATTTGAGGCATGTACCAGCCTTCCATGGCTCCTATGTGTTTTATTCTATGGTTTCATGACAAGACCTTGAAAGGATTTGGTCCAGTCCTTGCTCGATGACCTTTCTCCGGCCAGCCATGGCCATTCGAGTCAGATCCTTGACTCTCGTGGTTAGATCGGTAACTTTCAAGGCCTTCCTCGTTTCTTTTGGGTTTTTTGAAACCCTAATCTCTAAGATCTTTCTATTTCTTTTAGATCTGCTTTAGATCTGTACTGGCTATGACTTTCTTGAGTGTTTCTCGAAGGTTCTTTAACTTTCCTTCAGAAACGACCCTTTATCTTCTCCGATTAGGGTTTTTCCTCTAAATTTTCTTTTCAAAGATCTCTGATTTTAACGTATTTCTGATTTTGTTACGGTTTGGTTCATATTATTCTTCTATCCGAGTTAGCATGTTAAAACCCTAATTTCTTTTGGGTCTCATTTGAATCCTGAAGCTGTTTGTTTAATGGGTACAAGTTTAACTAAGTTCCTCGCTCTTGTTTGACTTATTTGTGTTATCATTTTTTTTTAAAACTCGATTGTTGTCGAAAAGCCCTAGTTCTTTGGGTCTGAAATTATTTGTTTGAGTACTTAACTCGACTGAAAGCTTTTGTTTTAGACTTTCTTTTCTTTATATGACTTATCTGATTTTACTATCTTTCAACTCGACTATGGCTGAAACCCTAACTTTTAAAAAGGTTTCCTCACCTGCTACTGTGAGACCTTTGCATGTTTCTAATACTTTGTTTTCTGCACTATTGATTCAATGTGACTTGACCTACTTGATTACTGTGTTTCGAATGTTTGCTTTACTACTGAACCCTAGCTTATTTCTGCCACTACTGCCTGTTTGTGATTTTGTCAATGAGTTTGGCCTCGCATGTCTGATGACCTTGTTCACTTTATTTATATGCTGAAGTTTCTTCCTTGATTGATCTTCATCTTGTGACTGATTTCTAAAGTTTCCCTTTATGAACCCTGATTTCACTCGTCCATTCAAATTGATTGATTCTTTACCCATTACTATGATATTTGCCTTACTGAATCTTTTCCAAAATAAGCATATCTCTGTACTTAGACTTGATTACTTACTTAATGCTTGTACTACTTTTTTTATGGCAATAATCAGTCCGTCTCTAAACTGATCTCTTTCCTTATTTGAATCTGTTAGATAGTGATTCCTTAATTAAAGGGAATCACTTGTATAATTGATTCTGACTGTTGATTGTTTTCATATTTGTACTAAAACTTTACTTATTTCCTCTCCTTCACTCGTTTTCAAAAGGCTATAAATACCCTGCATCCCTCTTCTTTCAAACACACAAACACATGGAACGAAACATTTGAGTTCATAACACACACCTCACTAAAAACTCTCTCTCTCTTCTCTGTTACTACTTGTGTTGCTGCCTTGTCTAGCCGGCTAAAAGCCAAGGCTAGGCTGTGGGGAATTTGCTTACTTTTCTTTCTGCATTTGCTTCTTTACTGGTATGTTCTAATTAATTTTCCAACATCAACAATAACATGTTTCCTTCACTCTTGCCTGTTTCCTACTTGTGTTTTATCAAGTTCCATTACTGAGCATACTAAAATCTGCCCCTTTCTCTTCTAAATAACTGCTTTCCTAATGTACGAATTCTATCAGTCACTTATTATGACTTATGAACCCCAAACCCCCATATCCCCTATGTGTTTGTATTCCTTGGTTGGTTTGGGGGCATGTCAGCATTAGACATTGCTGTGCATGACCCCAAACCTGACCCCTCCTTAGGGTCATATGCTTCACATCCCCTCTATGTGTTGTGTTCTCGGGCTGGTATATGGGCATGCCAGCACCATCTATTGCTATACATGCCCAAACCTGGCCCCTTCCTAAGGTCATATACTCCCTGCAATGAATTCCCAAACCCCTGACCCCTTTTTATGAAAGTGCTGATTCTTTGTAATATTAGCTGTACTACTACAATTTTCCAATCACCTTTACCCCTCTCTATTCTCCACTCAGTTTTAAATCTATGTTCCTGCACTTCCACTATATTCTTCTACTTAGGTTCAACCCCTCTTGTGTGAGCCTTGCCTTGGGACCCATGAGCTCCCTCTATACTTAGACACATAAGGGCTGGCCCTCCTACTGCACTCATCTCTATCTGGTTATGAAAACTTGGGTGTAAGCACTGCACGGGTTCCCTTGAGACCCTTAGGGAACTTTTACACACTCAAGTCTGAGAAAGGCTTTGAAACAAGTTGGCATTTGAGGTTTTTTTGTTCCATAACTCAAAGAGGAAGTCAGAATCAGGCTTCCAATGGTTGTAACTTATTTTTTTTTTTACATTTTTTTGATGTAATTCATTATTTTTGTCTGTAATAATTTGTAATAAACATTTGGGGTTGGTTAGTGAAAAAAGGCTGGGTAATTGTGCAAGCTTAACTATTAGAAGGGTATAGATCATGCCTTTAGGACCTATTTTTTTCTGTATGATTAACTCAGTATTTAGATAATATGCCTATAGGACTTGTCTTTAAAGTTAGCATGTTCAACTCTGCATTTAGAGAACCTGCCTATAGGACCTGTTTTAAATTTAAAATCAGTAATAATAGATGTCATCGTCTGAAACCAGTCTAGTCTAAAATCAGCCTAACTCTCACTATTCTGAACTAATTTTCAACGACTCTCTCCCTTCCTATTAATACGGTTTAGAAAGCATGTTTATAGGATCTTAAATCATTTATTCTAGAATTTGTTACTGCTTTGCCCCATTCTGAATTGGCAATAGATATCGTGTTTATTGGATCTCACCCAAACACCTAGGCAAGCCTTAGGTGATAAAAATAATAAAACTGAATCCGCCTTTGTTAATTAGTAATTGCTACAACCAGCTGGCAAGCCTGATTCGGACTTCTTATCTGAGTTATGTAATAAATTGGTCTGCTTCAACAAGTGAAACTCCCCTGTCTTAGTATTTTAAATTCTGGCCTTGATTGTGTTTAAGTTATGCTATTTATGTTCTTTGCTTGAGGATGTATACATGAGCCTTTTTGGGTGTTTACATGTTCCCCCTTAATGTGCAGTCCTATGTGTTTTGTATGTCGCCCTAGCTTTTTCACCTTTTGAAACCTCAAAGTCAGCCTAATATCCCTCCCCTTTAGGAATAGTAGTCCTAAGTGCCTCCGGGACTGATAGGAATGGGACGGGTAATAGCATGCAATAGTGGTCGAGACCAATCTACGCTTTAGTACCTCGACGTGGTGGGAAGGGTAGATATGGATATCATGACCGGTGCGCTAATACCACGTGTAGCCCCTCTTTCGAGGAGTGATTACCGGGTATTCATTGATGTGATTCATATTGCAAATAAACCTAGGACCTCCCCCTCCTCTTTCTTTTCATTTAAATATTTATAGAACTGTAACTTCTTTTTAAAATCAGCCCTTTAATGATTGCTTTGCAAACTCTGTTTTACTTTTATCACTTCCAAACACTTGTGTATTAAAATCCTCTCTTATTTGCACCTTATTTGCTTACTTGTTAATTGCAGAAATTCACAAAGAACTATCTGGCTGGGAACCACACTAGTGGATCCTGAGGGGTGCCTAACACCTTCCCCTTAGGATAATTTCAAGCCCTTACCCTATATATGGTTATCAAACAAACATAGAAGTGAACCTTATTGGTGTCCTAATGCACCTTAAATCATTAGGTGGCGACTCTTCAAATGCAAAACCCAGTTCCCAAAAGGAATGAGTTGTCCTATGCCCAAAATGTCATAAACCCGATTTTCCGATGCAAAGAGGGAAAAAGGGGGCGCGACAACGGGTAAAGGAAAAGGTCCCATATGGGCATGTGAATGTTGTATTCTCTTGATTTTCCGAGGCGATTTTGATTTGGTTATAGCTGGAATATCCATCCAGGAAGCAATAGAATGACCTTCCCGCTAGCCGATCAAGCTTTTGATCAATAAAAGGCATAGGGAAATGGTCCTTGCAAGTATCACTATTTAGCTTCCGGTAATCCATGCAAACTCTCCACCGGGTCACTGTTCTCATTGGGATGAGCTCATTTTTATCATTTTGAATCACGGTCATGCCTCCTTTCTTTGGCACACATTGCGCCGGACTCACCCAATAACTAACGGCAATGGGGTAGACCACCCCGACATCTAACCACTTGATGATTTATTTCTTCACCACGTCTTGCATGGAAGGATTTAACCTTCTTTGGTGCTCCACACTTGGTTTGCTCTCTTGCTCCAATTGTATCTTGTGCTCACAAATTCCGACAGGAATCCCTCGAATGTCTGCTATTGTCCATCCAATGGCTTGCCTGTGCTCCCTCAAGACATTAAACAGTTGTTCTATCTGCTCATCATTTAACAAAGAAGAAACGATTACTTCTAGAGTGTCATTAGAGCCAAGAAAATTATAACTCAAGTATGGTGGAAGTGGCTTGAGCTCAAGTTGTGGCGGCGCAATAATTGAAGGCTTGGTGGGAGGATTGACTTTATTCTCTAAGTCAAGAGAAAGTTTCTTTGGTCCATAAGTGTAGGACCCAAGTGCTTCTAATGCGTTCACTGATTCCGTGTACCCCTCCATGTCTTCACCATCAAAATTTACCAAAATAGCCGCCAAAGCCTCACCAAGACATTGTTCTTCCATCTTTATCTCGATTGCGTCTTCTACCTCATCAACAAAATCAACGACCGAGATCTTTCATATGCATGTGGCAACTTCATACCCTTACTCTCTTGAAAGGTAACCTCTTCGTCATTATCTCGGAACTTGATCTCATTTTGTTCTGAATCCATAAGTGCTCTTCCAGTAGGAAGAAATGGTCTCCCAAAGATGATATGGATTTGTTTGTCAACAACACAATCAAGGATCACAAAGTCGGCTGGGAGGAGGAACTTTCCCACTTTTACAAGAACATCATCGACAATCCCCACCGGTCTCTTTATTGAACGATCGGCCATTTGCAACCTCTTACTTATAGGCCTCGGCAGACCTAACCCTGCTTTCTTGTAAATAGCAAGAGGCATTAAATTGATGCTAGACCCATTATCACAAAGCGCTCTTGCAATATCGTGCACCCCAATAGTGCATGGAATGGAAAAGGCTCTAGGGTCTTCTTTCTTTTGAACGGTGGTTATTGCAATATTGGAACTAACCCGGTGAGTCACATTCACTACTTCATTCTTCGTTGTTTTCTTCTTCGTGATCAAGTCTTTCAAATACTTAGCAAAACCCGGCATCTCTTGAAATGCTTCACAAATGGGATATTCACCGATTATTACTTGAGAATGTCATAGAACTTCTCAAGTTTGCTATCATCAACCTTCCTAGCAAGTCTTTGAGGAAAAGGTGGAGGAGGTCTAGGAATTGGTGCTAGAGTTTTTGGTGTCTCTTTAACCATTTCATTAACCTCTCCCCGGTTCACTTCTTGAATTTTGGCCTTTTCTGAGACCTTTTCAACTTCAACAACAACTGGCACCTCAACTTGTGCCTCAACTTCTTTTTCGGAATCTTCCACTTCGACCACTTGTTCATTCTCTCCTTGAAGTATTTTCCCACTCCGAGTTATGATTGCCATACAATGGGAAGTTGGACTGCCCCCACTACCTTTTAGGTTTGCAATTGTGTCACTTGGGAGTGTGCCCTTTTGCTTCGGATTTTACTCTCTTGAGAGGTCTCTCATTTGCATCTCCAACTTTTGAATAGATACGGTATGAGAACCGACAAGCTTGGTCATATTCCTCATTGATGTGTCAGATCTTTCTTGATTTTGCAATACTCGTTCAAGCCCATGTAAAATTTCTCCAACAAGATAGATTCCGGAAAACCATGATTCATTGACCTCACTAGATATAGCTTGAATCGATCCCATTCCTCATGTAGGTGTTCTCCTTGTAATTGCTTGAAAAAAAAAATTTATCCTAGAGGTCAGACTTCTTGCTTTGCGGGAACCATTTAGCTAGGAAAGCTCGGACGAGTTCAAGCCAAGAATGAATGGAATTTGGTGGTAAATTTTGGATCCATTTCCTTGCCTCTCCAGCTAGTGAGTACTTGAACACCCTCAGCCTTAAAGCATCATCTGAAACGATGTTTTGCTTATGCATCGCACACACACCCAAGAAGTTTCTGAGATGTTGTGTCGGATCATCATCGGTGCAATTTTTTAAAAACCCCTCTGCTTTGAGTATTAGGATTAAACCGTGTTCCACGATGAAAGTGGCAGCATCAACTCTTGGAGGTGCAATAGCATTTGTATCCTCAATGTACTCATCTATGTCCGCAAAAGTATTCTCTTCTTCGTCATACTTGGCCATGTTTTCCTATCAACACCAAGAAAAGAAAGCAAAGTATGATGGAATAGAAGAAGACGTAAAGTAAAGCACACACTAATTAAAACCGTATTCCCCGGCAACGGCGCTAAAATTTGATACGCTCAAATTACACCTTAAATAAATAATGTAATGCGGTCTGTGTCAAATATAATAACCCAACAAGGTTGGGGTGGAATCCCCCAGGGAATAGGTGTGAAAAGGTTACTTGAGTAGTGTGAGACTAAAGTCGTAATTCTACTCCTTTAACTTAACAAGGGAATGATATAATTGTGATTTAACAAGATAACTATTTTGTTGTGAGAATGTGATTAATTTGATTAAGGAAACCAAGGTTGTGTCCCCATCAATAAAATGTAATGCTATCAGTGATAATATGATATATTTCCAATGGAAGGTCCTTTGATATGAAAATGGTTTCTAAATGTCTACCCAATATTTTTCAATGGTTGGGTAGTATTTTCTCTTTATGATTTTCCCAAATATAAAAGAGTTGCAATTAAGACAACCAATTTATGCCAAGTAGAACTCACTTATTCCTAAGCAATTCTATTAAACAAGGTTTAAAGTCTTGAGTTCTTGATATTCACTTCTACGAAACACTAACCCACTTTTCCAAGTAACGAAAGAGTAAAATGGAATAAGTTAATGTTTGCAACCATCAACAATAAATAAAGCTCAAGAAATGAATAAATATCAACCAACCATTATATATATATATATATTCAATGTTAAACACCCATTAATATTACACCCATTTAGGGTCCACAACCTTAGTATTTAAAACTAGCTACTCATACTAGAATACAAAAAACAAAGCAATAAATAGAGTCATAAAGCTTACAAAAGTGCAAGATTCTCTCTTCACAAGCTTCCAAATTAATGGTTTATTCAATGCCTTCAACGTAGTCCCTTTTTCAGACTTAATGCCCCACAAAAACCCTAGTAAATATACTTATAGTGGACTAAAAGTCGGGGTCAAGATTGGACAAAAATACCACAAAAACCCTAGTAAATCTATTTATAGTGGACTAAAAGTCGGGGTCAAGATTGGACAAAAATACCCCTACAGAGCTCTTATACGACCGCATAATGGTCGCAGACCATGTATGCAGTCCGTTGACAATTTCATTACAGATTCTCAGATCCTCAAGCCAAGGTTCCACCGCATTTCCATTATGCGGTCCGCATATCAGTTATGCGACCGCATTTTCCATCACAGAAGTGCTGTACAGGTAATTCAATTTCAGTTGTGCGGTCAATATGCGGTTCGCAACAGTGTTATGCGACCGCATAGTGGACCGCATATTCTTCTCTTCAGTTGGTCAAAATAGTTTTTTCAGTTTGCGGTTATTATGCGATCCGCATAGTACTTCTGCGGTCGCATACTTCTAGGATTCCTACTCTTTTGTGGCTTTTTGACTTCTTTTCCATATGTTTGGGTCTTCAAGTCTCATGCACTACAAAACACAAAAATTTTGTAAGAATAACTAGAAATGCATGAAAAACTAGCTAAAGTCTATGTAATTGGTATCAAAAGTGCCAAAATTCTACGGCACATCAATTCCACAGAGAAAGATGCAGTTGAGCTAGCAGTTTTTTGACTCCGAGATATAGCCATCCTTTGGTACGAGGGATGGAACCTCTGTGATGTGATGCACCTCCAGCTAGTTTGGAGAATTATTAAATGCCTTCCTTGACCAGTACTTACCGCAGGAGATCTGACAGGATCGGGTCGATCAGTTTCTAGCCCTCAAGCAGGGCAATATGAGTGTTCGAGAGTACAGCCTCCATTTTGACTCATTGGTGAGAATATGAACCATCTATAGTTGCTACTATGCGGGAAGAGGATCCACAGGTTTATAGCAAGGTTGGCCCCAGAGTTGATCGATGCATGTGCCACCACTGCATTGCAGGACAGTATGGATATTTCCCGAATTCAGGCATTCACCCAGAATACATAAAGGGGTACGCATCGGCAGCGTGGTACAGAGAGGACTGAGCAAGGGCAGCGTAAGAGTATGAGATTTCCCATGTCTCAGGAGCATTCTCAGGGTAGTTATAGGCCCCAGTACTTCGGACGGCCACCTAGGCCTGCGCCACCTCAGTTACCGAGTTATAGGTATGACCGCTAAACTCAGTTAGGACCAGGTGAGAGCTCACGGGCGTCGGGTTGGTTTGCAGCGACAGCGAGTTTCAGGGCAGACATGGTCATTTCTGCCGCGGTGTGACGTCTGTGGTAGAGGACACTTGGGCCAACACTGAGCAGGTTCTGATGCTTGTTATACATGTGGGCATCCGGGGCATATGATGGGAGATTGCCCAAATAGACATCTGGGGGTATGGCACAACCAGCGAGTTCAGCAACAGGATCATCTATGTACGTGCATCCTTCAGGTCGCAAGTCTCAGTCTTCGGCTGGTAGAGGTCGAGGTAGTTACGCCCCACGTTTTTGTACATGGAATTACGCCATAAGTAAATTGATGAAAGCTCGGAAATAAGATGTTACATCCCACATTTTCGTATGTTAAAGTTTCGTCGTAATTTAATCGATGCAAGTTCGGGAATAAGATTATTTTTGGATTATAAGTATCACGTTATTTCAAACAAGTAATAAGTAAATTCTTGAAGGTGAGAGGGTAAGCAAATCGAAGGAAATGAGTTTCATCGTAGTTTGACAATTTGGGATAAAATACGGGTCGAGCTACAATACCCGATATTTATGGACTAGTACCGTACAAGATACCACATGACTATGATAGTAAGGTGTATAAAATATGTTAAAAGTGAGTAGTATTTCAAGTAATTTGAGGTAATTCTTAATCATGTGGATAATTGGGTAATTAGTGATCTTCGTGGGAGATTAATTTAGTGTATTTTGATAAGATTTGATTAGACTCCAACGTGGCAGCCCAAAGGACTCTTGAAAATGAGTCTTAACCCACAAAGCAAGATGGAAAAATTAGAGGACTTTGTGGCCAAATTTATCAAAAGAGTGGGGCCCACACCCATTATGATAAAAGACCTTTCATTCACCTAAATGAGGTGCTTGTCTCTACAAAGTAAAGAGCGAGATGCTTATGTCTAGTCTTCTAGAAATGGATGGAGCTCACAAAGATCTCTTTAAGAGAGATGCATCTATAAGTAGTGGATCTCATCCAATAATTTCATACGAAGTTATACTGCATAATAGCAACGGGATTTGCAATTCTAAGAGAGTACGGTACAATTTTTCTCAAGAACATCATACGGATTTTCCCTACTTCGGTACGTCGTTACACATTGTCTCAAATGATGTGTGTTAGAGGAATTTTGAAGAGAATCGGTTCAAGTATGTTAAGGCTATCCCTTCTTTCTTTTGGCATGATCTATACGACACAAACCAAACGAGCTAATGTGCAATTTCCACAAATGGCTCTATTCATAAGAATACTAGAGATACTTATGTTCTTTATCCCCCATGTGTCATATTATACTATCATCTGTTCATGGGTCTCAGAAAATACGTAAGTTGATAAAGTTTATTAAATGATATTTATCAAAGGCATAATGGTCTTATGACACTCCGAAATATTTTATTGACGTACTTCTTATGAATTACATTCATTTAGATTGACCAATGACCAGATGACGTTATATATATATATATATATATATATATATATATATATATATGGGATATGGGGAAAAGGTTATGGCGTTATATACGCACCACCACCTGATCAGCTGGTATACGTTGATGATTTTTCCCACAGTGGCCGAGATGATATGATGGGATGCCCTCAGAGGCTTGATGATATTATGGACACATGTACCTATGCACGACATGACATTTATACGCATATGCATGGCATTATATAAATTAATGATTCACAGAGTTATTCAGACTTACATGTCGAGTCTTTTACTCC